AAAAGCCTTGCTAAGGTAAAGATAAACAACATAGAATCATAGAATGGTTTAGGTTGGAAAGGACCTTGAAGATCTTCGAGTTCCAACCCCCCTGCCATGCGCAGGGACACCTCCCACTAGATCAGGTTGCCCAGGGCCACATCCCCCTGGCCTTGAACCCCTCCAGGGATGGGGCCTCAACAACCTCTCTGGGTAACCTGTGCCAGTGCCTCACCACCCTTAAAGTGAAAAACATCTTCCCAATGTTTAATCTAAACCTGCCCTCTTCCAGTTTGAAGCCGTTCCCCCTCGTCCTATCGCTACATGCCCTAGTAAAAAGTCCTTCCCCAGCTCTCCTGTAGGCCCCCTTTAGGGACTGGAAGGCCGCAATAAGATCTCCCCGGAGCCTTCTCTTCTTCAGGCAATCCACTTGTCCTGGGTTGTGAACTAAACTGACCAGGCAAACTGCCCTCCAACTATGAACGGAAGTGCTCAACCCATGCGAAATGAGTGTTCACCATTTATAATAGAGCTTTCTCTCTAACCATTCTGTGATTTTATGATTTCTTCCAAAGATCTCAAAATCCTTCTTGGAGTCAATTAAAATGTTGTCCCTCTTCAAGGAACTGGGAAAGTAAAACATGAGTGAGGCAAGTGAGTTGCCTAAGGTAGATTTGCAAAGTCTTGTGCAACAATACCTCCAGGGTCAGATAAGATATCTGGTGGAGAAAAGCTGAGGAGGGGAGGAGGAAAATGGACACATCTGCCAAGGCAGATCCTGTATTACTTCAAGACACCTGCCAAAAGATTTTTAAAAATCCCACAAAACAACCATTTGGCTGTTTGGCCAAAGAATGGAAACAAAATACTGTTCTTGAGGTTGTTGAAGACAGACATTTCCCAGCAGATCTAAGGAAAACTTTAGCTATGCATCATTTGGGATGTCCATGCTTTTGTGTCTGATAATGGAAACCTTACTCCAGTTCGCACTATTCTCCTTCTTTTGATTATTCCAGGTGGCCCAAATTCCAGTCACAAAGATGATCCTGACCCCTACCTGGTGTGTAGAGAAAGCCATGCTTTGCTGCAGCAGCATTCCCATCCCTGGGGATGATGGATTGCCCCAAAGTTTTAAGGATCAGCAAAGCAAACTCTTTTTTTGTCTGGATTTACAAATGTACTGTAATAGGGGATTATTGCCTTTGAATTCTTCCCTTGTTATAGGAGCACAAAAGTCAGTGGTGGTCAAGAGCGGAAAAGTTATTAGAAAACCAAAGAGCTCTGCTGGCTGAGCTGATGCGTTCTCCAGCAGAGGCTGCAGTAAAGTCTGAGATCTGTGAGGGAAGATTGGTGTGTGGCATGTGGGGCGAAGCTAGAGAGCATGGCTTTTGTCTGGAATCAATGAGAGGATCATTCTGGCCCCACGCAGCTCATTGCTCACCTGGAAGTATCTCCCTGACAGTGCCAGAAATGTCTGGCAAACCTGCAAGTGTTTCTTTGCTTTCTTGCTGGACACCAGCTCTTACTCCAGTGAGAAGGGGAAGAGATGCAGAGAAATGTTGTGCTCCTATTTCTCTCATCTACATAAACCAGACATCCAAAAATCCCTGGTGAGGAACTGAAGAGGTGCTGAGAACTTGTGCAAAACAAATGCTTCCCAAATTGCAGGTTGTCTTTTTTTTTTTTTTTTTTTTTTTAATTAGTCATGACAGATAGGGTATTATTAACCTCAAAAATGCCAGAAACAGGTAGCAGCTGTCTAGTGTGGAAAAAGTTAATAAAAACTGAACTGTACAGTCGTTGGCATGGACGCATCTAAGCGGCAAAGGAGGTAAATCCACAAGTGGAGAGGTAAATTGGGGCCCTCCAATGCCAGAGCAAATTTTTTATAAAGACGGGGCAAGGAAAAGAAAGGGATACTGAACTGGAGGCAGTTACCTGTGAGAGGAATGATTTCACAGGAGCTGGGTCATTATCCCCCGTGCTGGCAACACCTCAAGGACTTTGGGTGTGCTGGGCTGGAACAACTAGGCATTTTGTCATTAAGTATTGCTTTTATATTTATTTTACTTGCAGCTAATTGCTTTCAAAACTTTGCCTGACCTTGATGAATGTTTTCTTTTTAAGCTTGCTTGGGTATGTTCTGAGAAGGGAGTCATATAAGGGTGGAAAATAGTAAACATTCAGGAGAGTTACAGTAATTGTGTCTTTACCATTTTCATCTCTCCACGTGAAGCAGAGCGTGTTTTAGTGGTAGGAAATTCAGAGAAGATTTGTAAGGGCAAAGTGTCTCTGCTGAGTATGCCAGATACCCCTCAGAGCGCTACGACATTCCTATTTGAAGTCACTGGGAGTTTTCTGTGGTGACGCTGGGTGGTGACGTGACGGTGGTGGTGATGTTCTTCAGCAAGGTCCTACCCCAGAGTGCTGTCCTTTGACGTGTCAGAAAGCTGTGGATGTACTGTCTGTCAGGCCAAGCGTGTAAGCACGGAAGGGCTTTAATGTCAAACTTGGGGACTCAACAGCAGGAGAAGTTGGGCACAGCAACGCAGAGAAAAGATGTCTCCAGATGTAGTCATATGCCTTTCAGAGCCACTGGGTGGGATGGTCTGTGAATGGGATGCTGACCTCGACATGAGGACATTGGCATTTCCCTCTCATGTGGGCCATGCAGCACGTCTGTGCCCTTGTGCAAGTGCACTATGTCAGCTTTGGTCTGCTCCACAGAGAGGGCCATACAGGTCCCCAAACTAGGTCATCCCTAAGTCTTGCAGGGGAGTATGCTTGAATCAGCATACAGCAGCTGCGATTCAACAACAAGAGCCCAGTTCTTCTGGCGTTATGGTAATGATAGCTTTGGTGTCTCCCTTAGCTAAGCACGGCCTCACATGCTCCCACTCAGATCGCTGGGGTGTGAAAGACCTCAGTGGGCAACTGCCTAGGGCCATAGTTAATGGTAATGCTTTTAATTTTAAAAACAGGGTGGTTTTTCCCCCCGTTTCTAGACACATTATAATAATATTTCATGAAAATCTCCAGAGATACAGGAAAGAATTTCTGGTCTTGGTTTAACAAAGCATATCAACAGGACTGCTGTGCATGGGAAGTTAAGTGTGCCCAGGTGTTTACTAACACTAGGGCAAAGCATAAACTTGTGTGATATTTTTCTGATGAGAGGCAGAACCTTGCTGAGGATGGGTATTTTAAAGAAGATGGATGCTCCCCATGGGGAGCAGAGTCTTCAAAGCCACATGTAGAGCTTAGGGCTGCCAGTCCTCCTCCTGAGCCACTGCACTTGCCTTGATACAGTTCAGAGTGCCACATGGCTCCTCGCTGAGCTTGCTGTGGCTGTGTGTGGTGGCACCAGCAGATTTTCTCACCTGGTGTGTGCACAGCAGCGTGTTCAGCACGTGCTGGAAGCAATTCACTGAGCAGCATATTGTTTTCACCCTCGGTAGCTCAGTCGGCTGTCAGAGTTGCTCTGCTGTGGGGTGTTTTGGATATGTCAGTAAACACGTTCCTTCCGAACAGTGCCAGATGTTTCCACGCACAGCAGCTCCCACAACCCCTTAGTAAAGGTTTT